GCAATGCTTCATCACTTCCCCTACAAGGGTCGCACGTACAATCCAATAGGACATTAATGTTCAGGACAGCAAGACTTTTAAAATGATCCCTCACAAGGCAGACTTTCAGTAGCCGTGTTCGTCTGCATCAGCAGAAAGAACGAGGAGTCCTCGTGGCACCTTACAGACTAATAAATCCTCATTCTTTAAGGCAGACTTTGTATCTAACCTATGATAATTCTATCGTAGTGGTGAATAGGGGGGGGGCTCCACAGTGCTACTTTGGGGTACAGATTGCCACACTGCGGTATCATCACAGTGCGGCCAGGGCCTGGGAAAGAGACCTTGGAAGTTTGAGAAAAAAAATGTGAACTTTCTTTCCTGTGCAGAGACAGCTGTTTGTGGTGTCCCCATGCCCACAGGGTGGAGTGACTTGTTTCCTTTAAGTTTCCACATATTTTCCTTATTTTTTTTAATGAGTTTCTGTTTAATAAATGGTGTGTGCTGTTAAGGAAAAGTTAGCATATGTGCATATGTGACTTCATTTTGGTTTGGGGCCCACCATTGTCTAAAAACAAACACATCATGCACCAGGAGGAGTGTTCCTTAGATACTGCATTCCTGTGAACCCCCCCCCCCCTTGTTTCCAGCCTGTCTCGACTCCCAGTTTCTGTTCTTTGTCTGTTCCTAACTCCCTGCCTCCTGACCTTGATGCGAGCGTCCCATCCTGATAAGAAAGGCTACTGGTGCATTGCTTTAGGACCATGTTGTGTAGTTGAAGTAATGGTTTAGCACGGGGGATGCACTTAGCAGGGATAGGTGGTAGATAAGGGAAGGGTTTGTCTATCGGCTAAGGTTTCCGATGCACAAGGGCAAAATGCTTTGCTAAAAGGTATATAATCTCTGTATAACCTGCATTCGGGGTCCCCTCCTGATTAGCAGGGGGGCACCATGCTCGAGCGTAATAAACTTAGTATCTTTGGGAACTCTGCAGTTGTGGACTTTGTTCGTGTGCCTCAGCCTAGACTCGAACTGTGCGTGACCTATCAGGTATAATTCGCAGCAGTTTGTGTGCGTGACCAATTACGTATAATTCGTAACAGTGCTCTGAACTCTATGTAATGATCAGTGGGTCAGGGAAGCAGCCGGTGCAAAGAGAGTGCCTGTGAGACCCTCTGCAAGGAGCAGCAGGGCTCTGGGACTTTGCGGGGGACAGGTTGAAGGCGGGGGAGTGAAGGGATTAGAGGGGAGACGGGCTGAAATCAGGGAGGAAGTGGGGACAGAAATTTGAGGGGAGACAGAAAGGGGTGGTTGGGTGGGATTCGGAAGGGAGATGGGAGAGGAGAATGAGGGTTGGAGCGGGGACAGGGAGAGGGGGAGATGGGTTGAGTTTGGTGCGGGGTGGGGGAGTTTCAGGCGAGACAGAACCGGGGCAGAGAGGACGGGAATTTGAGGGGAGATGGGATGGGGCTGGGGGAGTGTAGTTTTGAGGGGAGATGGACTAAAGTCCGGGCAGGAGAGATGGAGATTGGAGGTGGGATGGGGGGAAGGGGTTCTCCTCTCACAGAGTTGGGGTCGGCGGATGGGAGCAGTTTTGTTTTCCTGCCAAAACTGAGCTGGGACACCACTGGCCGGGAACAGGGGGAGCAAGGGTCAGGTGATGCCCACCAGCCCCATGGCCATTGGGCAGATTCACCCTGAAATGCTCAGGAGGGAAGAACCCAGGCACCCCTAATCACGGGGGCAGCTTTCATTTCCCCCCATTCCCTGTCACAGCCCTGCCCCCCAGGTCCTGCCCCTCAGCCCCCTGGCCGCCAATGTTCCCCCACGTTATCCCACCTCCCATATTCCCCTGCTCCCCCCCCACTGCTCCTCCTAGCCCAAGTAGGCGTCATTTCCCAGAGGGCAGCCTGGCACCAAGCCCACTGGGAACACTGGGAGATGGTGGCCATCTTAACTGAGGGCGGTGGATGGGCATTTTAGGGCAAATGGGGCAGGAGACGGGGGTGTGAGGAGGGATGGGCTGTGGAGGGGGCAGGGTGTGAGGGGGGCAGGCTCGGGGAGATTTCAAGGGGAATAGACCAGGGGGTAAGATGGGAGATGTGGGGGCAGGCAGAGGTAGGGGGTGTTAGCTGTGGGAGACAGGGGGGAATGATTCTGTTATGCAGCAAATATGCTGCTCATCCCCCTCCTGCTCCGTGGGGCTGAGAGCAGCTATGGGGGGAGGCTCCCATGCGGTTGTGGGGCGGCTGGCGAGCAGTCGGGTGGGGATTTAAGAAGCCCATTGGGACAATCCGGCCACCCTGAACCATCTTCTAATGCTGCCCCCGAGGCACAGTGCCCCCGGCATTAGAAAGTCCCTGGGTCTCGCCCGGCTGGTGATCCGTTGGGGGCCCGGGTTGGAATTTCATGGAGCAGGTCATGGAGCAGGTCCTCAAAGAATCAATCCTGAAGCACTTGCATGAGAGGAAAGTGATCAGGAACAGCCAGCATGGATTCACCAAGGGAAGGTCATGCCTGACTAATCTAATCGCCTTTTATGATGAGATTACTGGTTCTGTGGATGAAGGGAAAGCAGTGGATGTATTGTTTCTTGACTTTAGCAAAGCTTTTGACACGGTCTCCCACAGTATTCTTGTCAGCAAGTTAAGGAAGTATGGGCTGGATGAATGCACTATAAGGTGGGTAGAAAGCTGGCTAGATTGTCGGGCTCAACGGGTAGTGGTCAATGGCTCCATGTCTAGTTGGCAGCCGGTATCAAGTGGAGTGCCCCAAGGGTCGGTCCTGGGGCCGCTTTTGTTCAATATCTTCATAAATGATCTGGAGGATGGTGTGGATTGCACTCTCAGCAAATTTGCGGATGATACTAAACTGGGAGGAGTGGTAGATACGCTGGAGGGGAGGGATAGGATACAGAAGGACCTAGACAAATTGGAGGATTGGGCCAAAAGAAATCTGATGAGGTTCAATAAGGATAAGTGCAGGGTCCTGCACTTAGGACGGAAGAACCCAATGCACAGCTACAGACTAGGGACCGAATGGCTAGGCAGCAGTTCTGCGGAAAAGGACCTAGGGGTGACAGTGGATGAGAAGCTGGATATGAGTCAGCAGTGTGCCCTTGTTGCCAAGAAGGCCAATGGCATTTTGGGATGTATAAGTAGGGGCATAGCGAGCAGATCGAGGGACGTGATCGTTCCCCTCTATTCGACATTGGTGAGGCCTCATCTGGAGTACTGTGTCCAGTTTTGGGCCCCACACTTCAAGAAGGATGTGGATAAATTGGAGAGAGTCCAGCGAAGGGCAACAAAAATTATTAGGGGTCTGGAACACATGACTTATGAGGAGAGGCTGAGGGAGCTGGGATTGTTTAGCCTGCAGAAGAGAGGAATGAGGGGGGATTTGATAGCTGCTTTCAACTACCTGAAAGGGGGTTCCAAAGAGGATGGCTCTAGACTGTTCTCAATGGTAGCAGATGACAGAACGAGGAGTAATGGTCTCAAGTTGCAGTGGGGGAGGTTTAGATTGGATATTAGGAAAAACTTTTTCACTAAGAGGGTGGTGAAACACTGGAATGCGTTACCTAGGGAGGTGGTAGAATCTCCTTCCTTAGAGGTTTTTAAGGTCAGGCTTGACAAAGCCCTGGCTGGGATGATTTAACTGGGAATTGGTCCTGCTTTGAGCAGGGGGCTGGACTAGATGACCTTCTGGGGTCCCTTCCAACCCTGATATTCTATGATTCTATGATTCTCTTTCTCCGATTTTCTTTTGAACCTGATTGATTTAATTCACATGCTGAAAAGCCCCTTAGAACCAGGCGTTACAGTGTAAACCCGTCATCATTGCTCAGCTGTGGGGCAAGGGGCAGCAAACCCAGGCGTCCCGCATCGCGCCCGCTCCTCCCACGGTGCCACAGCTCGTGTCGCAGGTGGGCAGGTTGGCAGGCTGAGCGGGAAGGCTGCAGAGTCAAACCCTCCAGCACCAGGAAATGCCATAGTTAAGTTTTCCTTAACTTTGCCCCCTTTAATTGCATGATCACGTATTCATTTTACCTACATGGGTCACCAGCCAGCTTTGAACTCAGAATGCAACAAACCAGGCGGTGTGTGTGTGTGTGTGGGAAGGAGGGAGTGTTTGTGAATCTGCATGGAAATACAGTAGAACTAGGGTGACCAGATGTCCCAATTTTATAGGGACAGTCCCGATTTTGGGGGCTTTTTCTTATATACGCACCTATTACCCGCCACCCCCGTCCCGATTTTTCACACTTGCCCTCTGGTTACGCTAAGTAGAACCTGAGAGTTATGAAAACCTGGGGAATGGATGTTGTTCACAACTGAAATATTCACTCCTCTGAACAAAACGTTACTGCTGGTCTTTCAAAAGTTTACAACTGAACAGTGACTTTATACAACTGCACATGGACTTCGTACGGCTTCGAAACTTGACTGTGCCAAAGAAAAATGTTGCTTTTAACCATCTTAATTTAAATGTAACGAGCACAGAAACACTTTCCTTCCCTTGTCAAATCTTTCTTTTTAAACTTCCCCTTTATTTCTTTAGCAGTTTATGTTTAACACAGACCTGTTCTGTATTTGCTTGTTTTTTTTAAGTTATCTCTGCTGCCGTCTGATCGGTCACTTCCTTTTGCAAATGAGGTGTGTGGTTGATTGGTCAGTTCCTAACTCTGGGGCTCGACTGTAGTGGTCAGTGGAAGATTGAAGACAAGACCCTGTGGTCTCCTGGCTCCCAGCCTCATGCCCCTTCCCCAATGCTGGAGGGTGCACTGCGGGTGATCTCTCCCCCCACCCCACAGAGACATGGACAAACTGGGAGCTGCATGATGCTTGGCCAGGCTGATGATCCCAGGGTTTCCTGGGTTTTGCAGAGACCTCTGCTTGCTTTGCCTGTGCTAGATTTCACCTGCAGATTACAGACAACATGTGACGGACATAGGAGGAGATGACACATCATCAACTTCCTGTAGCTGGAGTCACCAGCTGAGTTCCTTATTTGGGGCTCAGTGGAGCTGGGCTTTGGGGCGTTGGGGGCAGTGCTGAGGGGCACCCCGCTGCCCCCATCATGGCATTTGCTTTCACAGTCCTCTTCCTCGGTGAGTATCAGAGAGAGCCAGGGCTTGTGTCCATGGGGGAAATCTGAGACCAGGGCATGTGCCTGTGGGGCGGGGGGGTGGGGGTGGGGAAGGTCTGAGGCCAGTGTATGTGTCCATAGGGGGGATCTGAGACCACAGCGTGTGCCCATTGTGGGGGCAGCAGATCTGAAACCAGGGTGTAGGATCCAGTTGTTCTGGGATCTGGTCCCTAACGGCCCATCTCCTTTACAGGCTGCTGGCTCGCTGGGCGGAGCGGGATGTCAGGAGGTGAGTTTCTGTGGGGAATGGGGGAGCTGGGGGAATTTCCACATTAAGGACGAGGGGTGGGGGGTACCAATTCCCCAAAGGGATGATCCTGTCAGATCTCTGCTCCCCTCCACACCCAGAGGTGGGGACTGAGACCTCGCCCCACTCATTACAGGGATGGGCACCACACAGGGAGAATTCACCTGCACTCAAAGCTCTGCCCCCCAGGAAATACAGAGTGAAGGCATCAGCCACCCCGCAGCACCCCCGAACTGTGCCCAGGGAGCTGGCGGTAGCCCAGGGGAACGGATCAGTCAGAGCAGGGCTGTAAGAAGTGGATCCGCAGAGGGACTGGAGCAAGGCACCGTTGTGTCTCACCCTCGGCTTGCTGCACACGCGCCTGTCACTGCTTTGCTCGTGGGTCAGGCTCAGCCTGACCCGGCATTCGGAACATCCCGTTGGAAATATCCCGTCCCCAAATGGGCCCCCAGCACCGGGCGGAGCAGAGCTAAATCCCCAGCGGCTGAGAGCGGTTTGGGCCGGAGTAGAGCCGGAGTTTGGGCCCCAGGGGTGGGCAGGAAAATGTTAGAACAACCAGGGGATTTTGCAAACATGTTTTTCGGAGCCTTTGCTCAAAGGACTCAGATTTGTCCCACGAACCCCACCCGGCGCTCCTGTGTGTACAGCACATTGCCAGACAATTGGAGTAAACGTGGTTTTTAGATTTCAGAGTAACAGCCGTGTTAGCCTGTATTCGCAAAAAGAAAAGGGGTACTTGTGGCACCTTAGAGACTAACCAATTTATTCATCTGATGAAGCGAGCTGTAGCTCACGAAAGCTTAGTCTCTAAGGTGCCACAAGTCCTCCTTTTCTTTTTGTGGTTTTTAGAATATTCTAAGGAATAATCCATGTTCAGCCCAACCCCAGCAGAGCTGCCGCTGGGCTACAATGTTAGAGAAACAGGAGGGTGATTCTGATCTCAGCTCCCGGGGTCAATCCGGAGTCACTCCTGACTGCAGTGGGGGCAGGGCTGAATTGACCCTGGAGAAATGAAGGAATCTGAGACTGGAAATCTCCTTCCCCCCCTGCTGTGTCTCTCCCCGCTGTGAGCCAGGGGCAGGGCCTGCACCCAGGGACGGGCCCGGGGGTAGGGGGGGGTGGGGGGGGTGGTAAGACGCTGGAGCAACAGACGGGCAGAGGATTGAATCAGACGGATGTGGTTTGTGTCACCCCCACTTACTGCCTGTTTGTTTGTGAATCCAGAGGGGTCCTACCCCAAACCCTCCATCTGCGTCAGCCCCGGTGGGGTGATCCCCATGGGGGGAAACGTCACCATCCGGTGTTGGCATCAGGGCCGAGGCATGAGGTTCCTCCTCTACAAGGATGGAGACGGGAACCATCCGACGTACACGGACCCTGCTAGTTATGTGGCTGAATTTCCCATCCCCAGCGCCAGACGGAAACACGGGGGCAGCTACACCTGTCGTTATAGCCACAGAACAGGACCAACCCGCTACTCGGAGCCCAGCGACCCTGTGCAGATCATTGTAGCCGGTGAGGGGCCCAGCCCAGCATCTCGGCTCCCAGCCCCACACCCAGCCAACCCTGCTCCCAGCCCCACGCCCAGCCAGAGGCAGGGCGCCTGGCCTTGGAGCCAGAGGTGGGGAAGTTTGAGGGGCTCTTGGCTGCTGGGGGACCTCGTACCCCAGCCCCCGAAGAAGTTCTGTCCCCTGCCCAGACGAGCGTGGCCCTGATTGTGGCCGGGCCGGAGGCAGGGAGCCGTCACCTGGGGTCACCCCAGAGCTGTGGGCTGTTGTGGGGTGTCTGCCCTGCAGCGGGGGGCCGGCAGGCGGCAGCTGGGCTAGCTCTGATGGAGCTGAAAATAGCAATGGAGCCGTGGCCAGGCAGGACTAGCCGCTCGCGTGTGCACCCGGCGCCCTGGGCGGGCTTGACTCTCACAGCCTGTCTCCTGTGCGCAGATCCCAGCTTACCCAGACCCTCCATCTCTCTGAGCCCCACTGGGGTCACCGCCCCAGGGGCAGACGTCACCATCCGGTGTCAGGGGCAGCGCCGGGACGTGAGGTTCTTCCTGCACAAGGCTGGAGACCTGAACCCGCCGCGACACATGGACCCTGCTGGGGACGGGGCCGAGTTCCACATCCCCACCGTGGGCCGGCAGCACGGAGGGAGCTACGGCTGCAGCTACCGGCCCCGGTCAGAGCCCTTCGTCTCCTCGCAGCCCAGCCACCCCGTGCAGCTGGTGGTAGCAGGTGAGGGGCCCGGCTTGGCATCCACGCTCCCAGCTGGACCCTCGCCGGGGCGGGGGGACGGGCTCCGTGCTGATGGGACTCTCAGAGCCAGCCTCTGCCCTGAGCCCAGCAGAGCGGACGCCCGGCCGGGGAGTGGACATGGCATGGGTGGGGGGTATAATAGGCCAGTGGCTTCTCAGGCCGGCCGGCCCAGGGCTGTGGTTGGCCGACTGGCTGGGGGCTGGGGCTACGCGGGCATAGTACAGGGCTGGGGTTGCTCAGGGTGGCTGCGGATGCTCGGCATTGCATGGCTGGGGCTCGGGTTGGTTGGCTGGCTGGGGCTGACCCAGGACTGGGGCCAGTCCGTGGTTCCTCTGATGGTGGGGGACTGGCCTGGGGGTTCTCCGGCTATGGGAGTGGGTGGCGAGGTGGTGCCTTGTGCAGGGTGGGGGGGCTGCAGGGCTAACCTCCCGGAAAAGGGGGGTCCACCTGCTGCTCATGGGGGACAGAGTCACTGGGGGGACTAGCAGCTGATGGAAATTTGAGTCCGAGGGAGGGGGGATCCCTGCCCCCAGGGGGAGATGCGGAACAGGGGTCCTCTCCCAGAAGGATACTCCCCGTCTCGGGGATGCACAGAGGCCTCGGGGTCCAGGGGCTGCTCAGCCGTCCCCTCCCCACTCCCCCGGACACCCAGCACTCAATGGGGAGCTGTGCTGGTGAGGGGCCGGTGGCTGGGTTGCCGTGTCGGCCCCTCCCCACCCAGGGTCTGTGTCTCACGGCCTGTGTCCTTCTGCTCCCAGATCCCACTCTGCCCAAGCCCTCCGTCTCTGTCCGCCCCAGCCGGGGGTTCGCCACGCAGGAGCCGGTCGCCATGTCCTACCCCAGCGACCCTTCATTGCTGGGGGTGAGAGGTGAGGGCCCCAGCTTGGCGTCTCCTGGTCACTCTGCCCCAGGGCCCAGGCAGCGAGGGGGCAGGGGTGGAGACCCCCTTGGCCAGTTAAACGGGCTCGTTCTGCCCAAAGAGCCACCCGCAGTGGGATCCACGAAGGGCTGGGGCTAGGTGGGGAGAATGGCTGGAGTTACTAGGGGTATGTGGGGCCCAGATGCCACAGGGAGGGGCTCCCTGCTGTGGGATGGATCGAGGGGTTTGCACGGGGACACAGATACAGACAGGGTGGGGGGATGGGGATAGGGAGCTGTTGCAGCTTCCTGTCCTGGGGGGCAGGAGCGGGAGGGGGCCCTGGTGGGTCTGACTGCACCAACCCGCCTCCCCCTTTGTCACCCCCAGATTACACCGGGGGCAACATCGTCCGCCTGGCCCTGAGTGCCGGGGTCCTGCTGGCCCTGGCGCTGATCCTGGCCAAGGCTGCCCACAGCTGGAGGAGGGGCGGACGGTAGGTGAGGTGAGCCCCCCAACACTCCGCGATTCCCCCCACTACAGCCTGGCTGCCTCCGCGTTGGGGAAGGGCAGCGGGGTCACCCTCACCCCGAGCGACGTGACGCTGCATCGTCAGGATGGAGCCGGAAGGACCAGTGCAGCCGAATCCGTCTGAGCATCCGGATGGGCCCAGCTCGGCGTGGGGCTGGGGGAGGGACTGTGTCAGGGCCGCCATCTAGGGGTGGCGGAAATGGCTAATGGCAGCGGGATGGGGAGTCTGCGCCACGGGGCGCCCTGGGGAGAGCTCCGGGCCCTACAAGACGGCTGGGCCATCAAGGCAAGGACAGGGCTTCATGGGCAGCACCCCCCCTGCTCATGGTCTCCGGGACGCGCTCCGATACAGCCACGCCGGAGAGGACATGGGATTGACCCCCCTGCCTGAGCCACCCCGGGGGTCGTTCGCACGGTTGTGGCGGTGGAGCCTGCGAAGCGGCCCGGCTGCGAGCTCCCCTGTAAAACCCACGGGCAAGTTCCCCAGCTGTGCCAAGGCCGCGGGAACCAGGGGAAATTGGGGACGACGCTGGACGTTGTAACCCAGGTGAGAGAACCAGACACAGACGCTGGGTTGGTCTGACCTGAAAAGCCCCCTGGCTACAGCCCCATGACTGTCGATATCGTGCTGGGGGAAAACAGAAGCTGGAACCAGGAGATAATAGCCCCAAATTGGCGGGAGGGACTTTGGGCCAGCACAGAGAGATGTCCCCAGCCAAGAGGCCCTGCAGGCCAGACTCGGAGGGGGATCCTAACGCTGGGAAGAAGGGTCCTGCCATCTAGCACCTGAGGGCATCTGGCCACAGCCAGAATAAGTGTCTGACCTGTGTGTGATGGGGTCCCCAAGGAGCAACCCGGACTGTGGGACCCCCTCCATAGCCACTAACCTGGCCTGCCTCTCACACTGTGATGCTGATGTCAAGCTGCGAACCTCGGAGAGGCTCTGCAGTCACACAGCCATCCACAGGCAGGGACCCACCCAAATGTGTTACACGAATGATCTCCCAGCCACTCAGGTACCATCAATAGGGGGGCTCCAGCCAATTCCCGCCAGCTCCCCAGCCTTGCACCCCAGACTGGTACCATCCTACCCTGGTCAGAAGCCAGTCCAGTGTAAGTTCATTAAGTTCACCCCTCCCTCGGTGTGGAGTGGACACGCACTAGCCTTTGTAAACTGAGTGGAGATTTCTCAAGCACTTCAAGCAAAACACACTGTCTTAGGTCAGATATAAAAGAGATTTATTAACTCCAGAAGGAGAGATTTTAAGAGGTTATAAGGAGCAGGTGCAGAGATCAGAGTTGGCTACTTAAGAAACAAAAATATATTCGCAGTCTAATTTCTACAAATGAAACAGGATTTGAATCAGGCAGTGTCTCCCCCTGACAGATGATACAAGCAGGTTACAGATCCTCAATACACAGACTGGACTCCATCCCAGCCTGGGACCACCCTTCTCCAGTTCAAAGCCTTTGTCCTTCAGACCTTCCTCCAGGTGTTGAGTTGTGAGGAAGAGAAGCCCTTATGTCCCTTCCCCTCGCTTATATTTTTTTCCAGTTTGCTGGAAAGATCTTTGCTGTGACCCGGGGATCAGGCAGTCCCCATTGCTCAAGCAATCTCCATTGTACTCAGTCTCTGGGATAGTGGATTCTTTCCTTGAGGGGTGTTGATGAGCTATTAACAGTGTCTGGCTGGTCCTCTGTTGCAGTTGAAAGTTTGGCTGTGGGCATCTCCCAACTTCAGGCCATAGTTGAGTAGCACACACAGCAATGCTTCATCACTTCCCCTACAAGGATCGCACATACAATGCACCAGGACAGGAATGTTCAAGAGGCTTTTAAATGTTTAACAACATTAATGTTAATGTTCAACTTTGTTAACGTTCAACACTTTTAAAATGATGCCTCACAAGGCAGACTTTGTACCCAAGTTTCAGAGTAACAGCCGTGTTAGTCTGTATTCGCAAAAAGAAAAGGAGGACTTGTGGCACCTTAGAGACTAACCAATTTATTTGAGCATAAGCTTTCGTGAGCTGCAGCTCACTTCATAGGATGCTTATGCTCAAATAAATTGGTTAGTCTCTAAGGTGCCACAAGTCCTCCTTTTCTTTTTGTACCCAAGCTATCATAATTCTATCGTAGTGGTGAATACGGGGGCTCCATGGTGTTACTTTGAGGTACAGATTGTCACCCTGTGGTATCACTGTGGCACGGCCAGGGCCTGGGCAGGATGCCTGGAAAGTGTGAGGAACAGACTGTGAACTTCCTTTCCCATGCAGAGACACTGTTCGTGGTGTCCCCGTGCCCACAGGGCGGGGGACTTCTTTCCTTAAACCTTCCCCATCTTTTCCTTATTTTCTTATGAGTTGTGTTTAATGAATTGTATGTGCTCTGAACTCTGTGTGATGATCAGTGGGTCAGGGAAGCATCCGGAGCAGAGAGAGTACCCCGGAGTGGGGACACCCTCACCCTTGTCCTAAGTGACCATGACAAGACTGGGGGTTGAGCCCGCAGGAATGCGGGGCCCAGCCTTGCCAGGGTTATGAGGACTCTGCCACACAGGAGGGAGGAAAGGGGTAAAGGGCGTGGGAGCGAAGACTCAGATCCTTTCGCCAGTCAATCCCACCGGGGCGTGTATAAGCCAGCAAAGTTCCCCACAATAGCGGGACCATTCCCCCGCTTACTCTAGGAGCGGGGTCAGCGGCCGCCCTGCCCGTCCGTCCGGAGAGTGAAATGAACCGGTTCCTCCCCACGAAGCCCGGCTTTTCTGGAAACAAGCGGCTCTGCTCCGGTGACTCCCGAAGGAGCGGGACTTGGAGCCGGTCTGACTCTGGCTGTTGGCCGCCATTGCTCAGCCCCCATTTCAGTAGACAGGCTGGGTTTGTTTCCTTGTCTGGGGGTTTAACCCAAAAGCTTTGCCTTTGAATGGCTGCTGCTGGGGGTTTGCCCAGGAGCCGAGTAAAACCAGGGGTTTGGTTTGAAACGAGCCCCCCGGCCCCCGGCCTGTGTTAAGCTGGCGAGGGAGGGAGTTTCCAACCCCCCTGAGCCCTCTGGGCCTGTGAGACCCTCTGCAAAGAGCAGCAGGGCTCCAGGAATTTGGGGTACAGGCCGAGGGGCGGGGGGGGAGGGATTAGAGGGGAGACAGGTTGAGATCAGGGAGGAAGTGGGGACAGGAATTTGAGGGGAGACTGAAACAGGGTGGCTGGGTGGGTGTTGGACGGGAGACAGGCTGAGGTGGGGAGGTCACGGGGGGCACAACATGGGGTTTGAGGGGAGATGGGAGAGGGGAACGAGGGTTGGAGGCACGATGGGGAGATGGACCGAGACTAGTGAGGGCTGGGGGGGGGGTTGAGAGGAGACAGGACTGGGGCTGAGAGGATGGGGATTTGAGGGGAGATGGGATGGGGTTGGCAGAGCTTTGAGGGGAGATGGACCAAAGCCGGGGAGAAGGTTGGAGGGGGGATGGGATAAGGACGGGGGGAGAGGGGCTCCCCTCTCATAGATTCCGGGTCGGCAGATGAGTGGGGGGTTGTTTTCCTGCCAAAACTCCGGCTGAGCTGGGACTAGCCGCGTGCGGGAGGTGGGAGGTGGAGCGAGAAGCAGGGGACGCCCGCCACCCACCATAGCCATGGGGCAGATTCACCCTGAAACACTCATGAGGGGGAACCCAGGCGCCCCTAATCACGGGGGGGCAGCTTCTGTTCCCCCCCCCCTTCCCGGTCACTGCCCTGCCCCACAGCTCCTGCCCCCTCAGCCCCCTGGCTGCCAATGTTCCCCCACGTTCTCCCACCCCCTGCATTCCCCTGCCCCCCACTGCCCCTCCCAGCCCAGGTTGGCGCCATTTCCCAGAGGGCAGCCTGGCGCCAAGCCCACTGGGGACACTGGGATGTGGCGGCCATCTTAACTGAGGGCGGGGGATGGGCATTTGAGGGGAAACGGGGCAGGGGATGGGCGTGTGAGACGGCACGGGCCATGGTGGGGGCAGGGTGTGCGGGGGGCGGGCTCGGGGGGCTACAAAGGGGGATAGGCCAGGGGGCAGGATGGGAGATGGGGGGTAGGCAGAGGTGGGGCGTGTTAGTTGTGGGTGACAGGCCATGGCGGAGGGGAGTGTCAGAGCAAAGGGCTGGTGACGGCGAGACCATCACACCTGGGTCCTGGCTCCCAGCCCCCTGCTCTAACCACTAGACCCCACTCCCCTCCGGAGCCAGGAATGGAGCCCCCTGACCCCCAGCTTCCTGCTGCCCTCCAGCCAATGGCGTATAAACAAAGCCTGTGTCACGTCCCTCTCTAGGGGCCTGGCCACATAACCACTGACAGCGTCTCCTCCAGCTCGGGGACCGGGTCTCTGCAGGGGCATTAGAAGGTGCCTGGGTCTCTCCCGGCTGGTGACCCCATCACGCCCGCTCCTCTCATGGTGCCACGGCTCGTGTCACAAAACACCTCGGGATTGGAGGTTGTTCGTAACTCTGAAATATTCGCTCCTTTGAACAAAACATTACTGCTGGTCTTTCAAAAGTTTACAACTGAACATTGACTTCATATAACTGCACATGGACTTAGTACGGCTTCGAAACTTGACTGTGCCAAAGAAAAATGCTTTTAACCATCTTAATTTAAATGTAACGAGCACAGAAACACTTTCCTTCCCTGGTCAAATCTTTCTTTTTAAACTTCCCCTTTATTTCTTTAGCAGTTTTTGTTTAACAAAGACCTGTTCTGTATTTGCTTGTTTTTTTAAGTTATCTCTGTGGCTGTCTGATTGCTCACTTCCTTTTCCAAATGAGGTGTGTGGTTGATTGGTCAGATTGGTCAGATTGAGGTTTGACTGTAGTGGTCCACTGAAGATTGAAGACAAGTCCCTGTGGTCTCCTGGCTTCCAGCCCAATACCCCTTCCCCATTGCTGCAGGGTACACTGAGGGTGACCTCTCCCCCCACCCCACAGAGACATAGACAAGCCGGGTACTGCATGATGCTTGACCAGGCTGATGGTCCCAGGGTTTCCTGGGTTTTGCAGAGACCTCTGCTTGCTTTGGCTGCCCTAAATTTTACCTCCCATCCAGAAGTGTCCCTTTCGCAGCATCCTGAGGTCAGAGAGGGAAGCTCGGCTCAGCCCTCGGCCCCCGTGAGCTCTGCCCCAGGCCCTGAGCTGCGCAGACCCGCTGCCCCGGGGATGGGCTGAGGAAGGGACACCGGGCCTTTCACCGTGAGGGGGCTGCCTCTAATCGCTGTCCTTTTCTCTAACCACTAGACCCCACCCCCCCAATCAGAGCCAAGGAGAGAACCCAGGAGTCCTGGCTCCCAGCCCCCTCCGCCAATCACTCGACCCCACTCCCCTGCCAGACCCGGGGTATATAAACAGGGCAGGTGCCAGGCATCAGGTTCACACAGAGTTTCACTGGCAGTAGCAGAAACAGGAAGTGAGCGCTGGCTCTGGGCAGACTTCCCCTTTCGCGGATTTAACAGCTCTTCCTTTAACAACTCAGGATCTACATTTACCCTTCTGCCCAACTCCTCCCAGGTGCCGGAAACCACGGCCCCTCCAACCGCCCACACTTCTGTCCTGTCTCTGTGCCACATCACTCAGCTAAGAACAGAGTCTGCAGTGGGGTGACCAGACAGCACATGTGAAAAATCGGGACGGGGGTGGGGGGTAATAGGAGCCTATACAAGAAAAAGACCCCAAAATCGGGACTGTCCCTATAAAATCAGGACATCTGCTCACCCTAGTCTGCAGCGACATGAGCTGGGAAGGAGGTTGGCCAGACTTCTCCACCCTCATGCTCCAGGGCAGGTGCTGCGAGCAGTCGGGTCAGGAAGGAATCTTTTCCCTGCTCCATGGAAGAAGGCCACTCCATGGGGGGCACTGTGTGTGTGTGTGGGGGGGGGAGAGCCCTCCTCTGCTCTAAGCTGCTGCTGCTGCAGAGAGGCTTGACCAGACCGTTGGAAAAGCTCAGGGCAGCCTGGGCACCTCTTGACGCTTCCTGAGATTCCCTCTTTCCCAGCTGGTCCCCAGACTGGGCAGCTCCCATGTGGGGCTGGGAGGTGATGGAGGGTGGGGCTGGGTGTGACGAAGTGGGACTGTTCTTAATGTTTCCTCTGAATAGTGTGGGGGTGCCTCAGTTTCCCCTAGGCAGTTCTTAAGTATCTAGGTAGTGGGGTAAGGGTGTATGATCCTTGCAGAGCCCTAGAGGGCAGGTGTGTGCAGGGGTCTGGACACAGAGAATGGCCGACACCCTGTTTCCTGGCACCTGAGGGCCTGGGCCCTTCCCCCCTGCAAGGTGAGAGCTAAAGGGTTGGAGAACAAAGGAATCAGGTGCCCTCCTGGCCCTGGAAAGGGACAAAGCCCAGAGGAGGAGGGGCTGGAGGGAGTTTCAGTTTGGGGCTGGCTGGAGACATGGAGTGAAGGGCAGACGTGGTTGTCTGGCTCACTGCCCCCCAAAATGGACCCAGCTGAGGGGTCCAGTTCTCTGCACCTACAAGCTCTGTGTTAGACCATGTTCCTGTCGTCTAATACACCTTCTGTTTTACTGGCTGGCTGAGAGTCACGTCTGACTGCGGAGTTGGGGTGCAGGACCCTCTGGCTTCCCCAGGACCCCACCTGGGCGGACTCGCTGTGGGAAGCGAACGGGAGGGGCAGAGGGTGCTGAATGCTCCGAGGTCAGACCCAGGAAGGTGGAAGCCGGGTGAGCTTTGTGTCCTGCAGACAGCCTGCTCCCAGAAAGGAGACTTCCCTAGAGTCCTGACTGGCTTCATGGGGAGCAGTTCCAGAGCATCGTCTGGGGACTCTGTGACAACTGGTGGCAGCCGTGGGATGTACTGCACCCCGTGGATGGCACTTCCTGCAGTAAGTGACTGGGGAGCAGTAAAACGAAGGGGGATTGACGAGGACCAGGCATGCTGAAGGCTCAGAGAGGAGTGGTTTTGGGGGGCGGTTAACCCCGGGAGTGCGTGACCATCAAGAAGGACTTTTGCAGTAACAGGGTTCCCCTGGGGATTGCAGCGAGCAGTCCCAGGGGAGGAGGAGTCTGCAGCTCGACCCTGGCAAAGAGGTGGTGACCTCGAGAAGGGCTGGCAAACGAGGGGTTCTCCCTGGAGACCGTGGGGAGCTGAGAGCACACAGGCCTGTGAGTCCACAACAACTTGGGAAGAGCGGAGTGATGGCCTGTCACCGTATCCTTAAGAAGGACATTGTAACCCTGTGCAGAAAGAGAGGGTTGAGCATTGGAAAGTTCACCAAAGCACAGTTAATCGTGCAGCTGGAGGAGGATGACCGCTCTAAGGAGCAGATTCCTGACCCCAAATGGGGCTATAGCAGGATCTGGGAGCAGCTGGAGTGGGAGCCAGGCACCCCCAAGACTCCTGTCCCTGACCAGACGAGGATCTTCACGATCGGGTTCCCCATCGGGGGATCGGAGACGGACGGGATTGGAGCTGAGTCCGAGAGAGCCAGAGGACTGTGAGAGACAGCGAGAGCCCGAGAAAGAGCTGCAGAAGCAGCAGCAGCATAAACTGGCGGTGGGGGAGCGGAGAGGCCTAGGGGACCTCTCTGGGGTGAATGGGGATAGACCCCGGGGGGCCAGTTCCGCAGGGAACCTCGTGAGTAAATTGCTGCCCCTGGTTAAGGAGGGGGGGATGTGGATGCCACCCCACTGCCTTTGAGCAGGCTGGAGATTTGAACCAGGGGGACCCTGCGGAAAAGCCCCGGTGTCTAGCTCCCTTGCTGGGTCCCAAGGCCATCGACTCCGTCAGCCAGATGGGTGGGGAGGTGGACAGACTCCCACTCCTGACGCCAACCAATATGTCTGTGTGGAGTCTCCTGGGGTCAGGCCCCTCGGACCCCCAGTGGGAGCGGAAGGTGATGGTCAATGGGGAGACATTCCTGGGGTGGCGAGATCCTGGGTCAGAGAGAACTGTTGTCAGGCCCTGGGTGGTGCAGCCTCAGATGCTGAGGGGCAGGGTGAGCTGGGTGAGGGTCCCAGGGACGAAGCCCCTCGCCCTGTCTATGGCCCAGATCTCTGTGCAGACCCAGGAGGGGTGGGGCCGGCCGGCCGTTGGGGTGCTCCAGGACACCAGCTGTGAGACCCTGTTGTGAGGTGACTGTGTCTCTTTGGAACAGGATCCAGGCCCTGCTCCTGTAACTGCCGAGGGTTTGAATTTGAATCCAGGGAACAAATCGGCGGAGAGGGAAATGGTCAGTGAAAATGCAGATGACCTGGCTGGCAGCAGGGAGGAGATGCTAGGCTCAGGCTACCTGCCTGCCTGTAACCAGCCCCCTGGGGCTCCCCACCCCCCTTGTACACCAGAGAGGGGGCTCATGCTGGCTCTGATGCAGTGAGGAAAGCAGCGAGGTCGCTGCCTACCCCCCTGGGACAGCAAGGGCAGCGCTGAGCACAGTGGGAGCTGAGACCCCAGCTGAGTGGGGGGAGACACAGGCAGGGCAGGGGATCTGTGGGGAGTGGCAAGGTACTTGGTAAGGAAAGTCTGGATGAGCCTAGGCAGCCTTGTGAGCTGATGGCTGTGTCCAGTCAGTAGGGTGGGAAGGCGAGGAGAGTGGAAGATGAGTGTCCCTGGACCGTACCTGTTAGCTGGGTGGAGAATTGGGACAGTGAAGAGAATGTGCCTGTGTCTGTCAGGGATATTGACTTGCCTATGGAGAGAGCTACCCTGATCTCCAAGCAGTTGTCTGCGACCAGCCCTGTGTGCTGGGACAAGGGGAATGAGATCCCAAGCTGTGTGTCTGAAAGGAGAAAGTGTGTCCGGCTCTTCTTGGTCTGTGGAGCAGACAGAAGGGGCCTTTCAGCCTGTGATGGTCGAGGGTCGTGCAGTTGTCTCAGAGTTGGTTCTGGATTCAGCTAAAGTCCAGGAAGGGAATGGTCCTAAGTTGGTGTCTGCTCGGGAGAATGGCCGTGTAACTAGGTTGCATCCAGTTAGGGTCTATGTAAAATCCCAGAGACCAGA